TGAGGAAGACCCGGATGCACCAGACATCCCGACCCCGCGCTCTTACGCAGAGGCGATTACAGGTCCCTACCCCTCCCAGTGGCAGACAGCCATGGACGCAGAGATGGCATCCTTGAACTCCACAGGCACTTACGTCGACGCAGTTGCCCCTCCTGGGGCAAACATAGTCGATGGCACGTGGATTTTCAGGGTGAAGTGGCCATTGGGTTCTCTGCGTGCCTTCAAGGCTTGTTACGTTGCACGAGGCTTCAATCAGCGATAGGGAGTTGACTTCTTCCAGACCTTCTCCCCCACCCCGAAGATGACTAATCTTCAAGTACTGCTGCACGTCGTCGCTCAGCGTGACTACAAGCTTCACTCTCTTGATTTTAGCACAGCTTTCTTACAGGGCAGCCTGCACGAGGATATCTGGCTGCGCCGCCCACCTGGCTTCACTAGGTCATTTCCTGCAGGTACCCAGTGGAGCCTCCGGCAGCCAGTCTACGGTCTTCGCCAGGTGCCTCGCAAGTGGCACGACACACTGAGGACAACGCTTGCGGCTCTTGGGTTTGCTCCTTCTACTCCTGACCCGTCACTGTTTCTACACACCGACACTTCTTTGCCACCGTTCTACGTCCTCGTGTATGTCGACGACTTGGTCTTTGCCACTGCTGACACTGAGGCACTGGCCCTTGTGAAGTCGGAGCTGCAGAACAGACACACCTGCACTGACCTGGGTGAGCTGCGCAGCTATCTTGGCTTGCAGATCACCCGTGACAGAGCACGGCGCACCATCACCTTGACTTAGTCATACATGGTGCACCAGGTCCTTCAGCGCTTCGGCTTCCGGTACTCCTCGCCACAGTCCACTCCTCTCCCTAACAGTCACTCGCTCTCAGCTCCACCTTCGGACGAGTCCGTAGAGCCGAGTGGCCCATATCCAGAGCTTGTGAGCTGCCTCATGTACCTGATGACCTGCACTCGAGCTGACCTTGCCTACCCTCTTAGCATCCTGGCATGCTACGTTGCGCCCGGGAGACATCGACTAGAGCACTGGGAGGCCGCTAAGAGGATGTTGTGCTACTTGTGCAGTACGTCTGGCATGGGGCTCGTGCTTGGAGGACGGGGTCCAGTTGTCCTCACTGGACACGCAGATGCTTTTTGAGTTGACGACTTGGCTACTCAGCGGTTGTCAAAGGGTTACACTTTCAGCCTTGGCTCCGGCTCCGTTTCTTGGCGGTATACCCGCTCGTTATCTGTTCTCAGTTCTAGTTGTTAGGCTAAGATCTACGCAGGGGCCATGGCTGCACAGGAGTTACGCTGGCTCACCTACCTACTGACTGACTTGGGAGAGCCGCCTCGTTCTTCTCCACTTGTGTACGTAGACAACAAGGCCATGATTGCCTTGTGTCAGGAGCACAGACTGGAGCACAGAACGAAGCACATCGCTCTACGTTACTTCCTTGCTCGAGAGTTGCAGCAGCGTGGTCAGCTTCGTCTTGCTTACGTGGCCACTAGGGCCAACACTACTGATATATTCACCAAGGCACTTCAGTCTGGTGATCATCAGCGTTTGTGTACTGTGTTTAGGCCTTGTGCCTACTTTGCCTCACTTGCTCACTGCGTAACTATACTTGTACTGTGACCTATATATATACCTCCATGCTTACACTTGCTAGGGTATGATCACTATACTGTTTGTCCTCTTTTATATAACTCTGCATGCGAACTGGCCTTGTGTCCTTTGCTTGTGCTCAGAATGTGTGGTGACTTCGTGATCCACCCTGAGCTTGCTTTGCTTCTCTTGAGTGGTCTTGTGACCACTTGTTCTCCCCCACTTTACCTATGGGGATGTGTCAAAATTTTATATTGCTTACTTTGAGTAGGCTAGAGTGGGGTAGCCCATAAGGGGTACAACCCAATTAGGGTTAGTACTTATACCCAACTCTTTCGTAGTTCTTTCATTCTCGTTCGTTATTCCGACACCTTTTGAAAATCTACCAGCTGCAGTAGCCAATCCTTCCCGCCATTATTCGCCCCCTCAACTGCATCCACCACCAGCGACACCGCGTCGGCAAGGCTCCTCCCCAGTAAGAAACCATGCTGCTCCTTTGTCAACACCTTCCCCAACACTTTTTTAAGCCTCGTAGTCATCACCATGTCGATGATCTTTTACAGCGCGTTAAGTAACGTGATCGGTCGGTAATTTCCCAACTGGTCCTTCTACCCCTTCTTATGCAGGAGCACTGTGACCGCGGTAGCCAAGCACTCCAGGAGTTTGCCCGTCCTCTCGATGTCCTTGATCATTTGCATCACCCTTCCACCTAGGAGGTCCCAGTGCGCGGCGAAGAATTCTGCCGGTAAACCATCCTGCCCTTGGGAACTTGCCCTTTCTGCTGAGAGGCAATCACTTCCTTCACCTCCACCTCTGTCTAGCTATTCCCCAGCTCAGCCACACCAGCCTCCGAGAAACGCGGGCCGGACGCGAAGGCATGTTGGGTGCAAATTCACATTGCATGACATCCTGCTGTCAATTTGTACGAGTATGCGTGTGTGAATGCATTTCGATGTGAATGGAATGTTCGTGTGTTTGTTTTCTTTCGCAATTTTCGTTTGGGTACTCGCGCAATGTGCGCTTCAGCACAACATTGTACGCGCTATGAGAAGTGCAAGCAAAAAGGACGAGCTCGCAAAGGAACCCAAGATGGAAGCTTTGCAGTTCGGTTGAATTGAATGCGCAGATTCAGTTATATCCAACTCGAAATTGTACTGTTTTGTTTGGTTAACTATAGTGTACCACGGCATGCACTATAGGGGTACAATTTAGTTGAAGGTTGGTGTTGTTTGTCTATATATGTATGCTACAGGGCCAGGGGGAACAAGCGGAACCAGCATTTGGCTGGTTGGGCAAAGACAAAATAGGTTCTGTTTTTAGGATCTGAACCTGGTTGTTGTTTACGCATGTTGGAAAAACAGAACCAGAGGTTGTTTATCAACCTACCACCTGCTGTTTTATCTAGCTAGGTTGGTTCTGTTGCATGGAATTATTTGGGATCATCCCTGGTTGTTCCCAGGTTGAGTCCCAAGGTCCTTGTTAGCTATAACTATTTATTCCTTCTCTGTTTGTACCTAGATATAGTTAATTTGATTCAAGCGAATTCCTTCTCTCTGTAATTTTGTTTCTACGTGGTGTGATGGCGGAATGCTACTGAGTCAACACTAGTACGCTTGCACTACGACACTAGGCAAACGCTGTCCAAGCAATAACTCCATAATGGCATAACTTTTCGCGAGGCAACTTGGCTTATTTTAAAGCTATTGGAACGAGCTTCAATATAGCAAAATCTCAGCTTAATCTGATCGACGGTTTGCATGGCACGCTGCGCGACGCACAAGGTATTCTCGTTATTTGGCTAAGTCATTCTTGGTCCCTCTCTCTACAAACTCGGACCCTAGGATGGGGGCTGGTCTTGTACCAGGCACCCAAGGACCCTTGGAGGTGACCCCGAGGAGAGGTATTTAGTTTGATTAGGTCTTAATAACTTGAGTTTATTAGGCCTTTACACCAACAAGGCACGCTAGACCACCTCTTCCTCCGGTTGCACACCCTTGAAGGCCGCCCTGAAATGCTTCTCTGTCGCCTGTAAAACTTCGCGCGTGCCTCGGTACATTTATCCGTTATGCTTGACCTCCTGCACCAGCGTGCGGCTCTTCTGTATCCTGATCTTTGCTGTCAGGTAAGGCGAGGAGACCTCCCCGTTTAGCTCAACGTTCATCCCCGCCATAACCTGCAACTTCTCTTTATCCCTTTTCTGGTTGTCCTCCAGATGAGCCTCCTGGAGCACCAGTCTGCCCTGCAGCCTCCTATTTGTCGGGCATTGCATCACCGCATGCCTTAACTCCTCCACCTCCTGCTCCAGATGCGCAACCGTTGCTCTGACACTTTTCTTCTCTTCTCTCGTATGTGCACGCAGGCCCGCCGTGAGGAGTCGTAGCGTCTTGTCAAGCCCGCAAGTCGCCTCACCTTCCAACTTCTGCAAGATCTTCTCTGTCACTGCTTTCATCCCATTTGTGTTAACCTACTTCGTTTGTAATCTCCACATCCCCGGACCTCTCTCTAGTGACGAGACCAACGAGAAACCCACCCGAATTGCAAACCAGTGGTCAGACAACGACTTTGGGACACGAACGTGCTTCGCCTCCGTCAACTGCCCCAAGACCGAGAGCGAGACCAATGCCCGTTGTATCCGCGAGCTTGTCTGCGACGCCTTGGAGTAGAAGGTGTACTCCAGCCGGGACGGGTGTAGCGCACGGAAGGTGTCCCGCAAGTCATGCGCTGGCCAGAAATTCCGCAATCTCAAGTCTTATGTCCTTGGGACAGCACGGGAGGACCTGTCCAGCTCTGGGTCCTCCACTAGGTTAAGGTCTCCCATCAGCACCAGGTGCGCTGACGCCGGCTGCTCCCGGACGAACGGAGTAAGGCAGCTGGTGAGGAAGGAGGACCGTGTGCCCGCGTGCGCCGGCAGGTACGCCGCTATCAACCAAAATTCCAGGTGCGCACTGCAGACCGTAATCCCCACGAGTCTGCCTGAGATGTGTTTTTTAATGTCTGTGAAATTCACGTCGTCTACGAAGGAAAGAATTGCAACTCCTCCTGCCTTCTGACTTGGATCCACCGCTGCTATCGCCGTTGGTCGTAACTGGGTCAAAAAATTATGGTCCTCTCCTACCCTTGTGTTCGTCAACACCATGATGTTTGCCGTTTTATTAAGCCACTTCATAATCTTGCTCCTTTTTCCATTACTTCTGAGGCCGTTCACATTGACCTCGCACACTGAGATGCTGTTGGATTTGTTACCCATTAATACACTGCGCAGGAGCCCCATCGTATCCACGGGCTTGAGTACATCCAAGGAAAACACAACCGTACTGCTGGCAACTACCGCTACATCTCCTCAACCATGCCGGCCCGCAACACCAGCTACAGGGCCCGAACACCACCGCTGTTGCTATCGCCATCATCACAGCGCGAACTCCTTGTGGATCGCCGTCAGGTTCACCTTTCCCTTGCTTGCACGTGTAGCATCCCCCCCTTTCAGGAGCGCGGTGCACTGCTGGACGGAGCGCACATGGACAGTGCCTGTGAGAAGCTTGACCCCTTCGTCTTTGCGCACGCCTCCTGGACACAGATCCAGTCCTCCCTGCTGCCTCCCGAGGAAACCGAGGTCACCGCCGGGTCCCGGAGAATCTTCTTCGTCGTCGCATAGAGCAGATGCGTTGCAGCTGCTCACGAGGGATGGGAGGCGGCTGTCAAGGTTCCAGATCTGGACCCCAACAGCCTGAAAAAACAAGGTTAGTGCACCACCATTTACCATAAATGTCATCGATTCGCTGCAGGGTCAGATTCCACTTCGTAGTGTTCTCCTGCATGTCCGTAACATAGTCATCATGCAGCTTCGTAGAGTGCATGCCGTTGCAAAAATCGCACTTGAGTGAGGGAAAGTGGACAAGCAGCTGCTTGTGATGGACGGTGTCATAAAGCATGTGCCACCACTGATACGTATCCCCCAGGTGTATTTTCACCAACCCCTTTATCTTATGAGTGTCCGCTCCCGTAACAGGATCCACCACCCCATGAAAAGTGGCACCAGACTGGTACGGGGGACGGCCACGCTTCTCTAGCGGAGTCGTGATGAGAAGTTTGTAGATCATATCCGGTGAAATCTCAGCAGGGACCCCCTTCAGCAGCACATCGATGGCATCCGGGTTCTGCGCGCGCTCCTTAATGCACAGCAGATTCTGCGGATGCTGCCAGTCCAAAAACAGCTTCGTCTTCCCATCCGCGCAGATGTGCGCCACGCGACGGCACCAGACATAGTTCGCATCCGCAACCTCCCGAAACGTGACTTGCAGCCTCCTAAAGCACTTCTTTGACAGGTAAGCCGGCAGCAGAGTCTGCATCTTCGTTGACTTCTGCATGTGCGGTGCCAGTGCCTTCTTCCACACGGCCAGGAGCTCCTTCATTGTATCAATGGTGCGTGGAACTTCCTTCTCGAACTCCTGCGGGATCAGCAGGGTAAGCGTGTAGTCTGCAAGCGCCACGATCTCCGCAGCGCGCACAGGATCCAGACGCTCCTCTGGGTCGTCGCTCAAATAACTGTCATCTTACATTTCCTCTTCATCCTCTTCATCCACTGGATCCGCACGGACTTCCACAGCCGGCGCATTTGCCTCAGCCTCTTTCCCCTTTCCTTCCACTGCAGTGTTTGTCTCCCCATATGTATTATCCTCCAGGGTCTTGAAGCTCAACGAGGCCAACTTCTTCTCCAACGACACCCCGGTGTCATCAGCGGCAAACGGACCGACCGTCTCCTTTAGCATCCGCTTCGGTGTAGCAGGCTCCGACTGGTGACCCTTATCCAGCGGCGAGCGCTCAACAATACCATTCTTCAGGGTAGCAGCAGCCTTCTTCGGAGGACGACCCATAGTGCAATGATGATAAAAAGAACGCAGCACCTTTGCTGACAATAGAAACTGTCTGAGCACCGACGCCTTATAAAGCCTTCGTCCAAGCTTGGGTCGCACCTTCCTTCTTGCTATCCCATGACGATATCCATAGAATAGGCTTGGCCGGACTTTGTTGTTGTAACATATGCTTGATATTATCAATGGAGAGTGCAGATTTATGGTAGGTAGGATGCTCCCGAATTGCCTTTGGATAATAAGGAGTTGCATGTACGACATGTGTCAGAAACCTTGTAGTTGCAGCAAGACCTTCGGGATTGCCTGACAAGCGCGTGATAGGTAACATGCCGACAGGATAGGCACAAAGAGTATACCCCTGTAAGCGCCTTGCCACGTAGATTCCATATAATGTCTTTTGAAAAGCACCTGACAAGAAATTGATCAACATTGGTCGAGTTGAAGATCCTGGTAGAATCCATGGCGGCCTTGGTTGTGTCAAAATACTAAGCACCTAAGAAGCTAGGTTTAGGCTTAGGAGGCATGGGAGCCATGCTAGGGTTGAGTGTCGAGAGAGTTTAGGCAAGGAAAATCAAGAAGGAAGAATTGGTTTCACTATTGAGCAAGGTACAAGATATAGGAAAGAGAAAGCCACATGGTACACCACCTACAACAAGTGAGATACACTACAGTCTACACTACAGACAGTTATAAAGTATAAATAAATATATTCTAACACACTCCCTAACTACCTGTAGTGAAGAACCTTGTGCACAACACCCCCTGAAGGGGTACACCAGGAGCAGCGGAGGAAGGAGAGGGCAAGTGAAGAGGAGGAGGGACCATGAGAGGAGAGGAGGTGGTGGGTGGCGGATGAAGCTGCTGCACACGGGCAGCTGGAGCAACTGGCACACTGGCAAATGGAGCAACTGGCACACGGGCAACTGGAGTAACTGGCTCCGCGGCTAAGCGAGCGGCTAGAGCAACTGACTCACGGGCTACAGGAGCAACGGGCTCACGGGCAACTGGCACAACGGTCTCACGGGCGACTGAAGCTGCTGGCTTCACGTCGTACACCCCCCTTCAACTTCCCCCATTTTCCCAACCCTTTCACACCCCTCAGCACCCCTACCGCCACTCCCTCATCTCCCCCACACCCTCCCCCCCCACCACAGCGGTATGTGCAGCAGTGGGAGAGAGAGGAGGAGAGGCGGCAGCAGTTCACTCACACCCGCCACCCCCATACCCTCCCCCCCACTGCTGCACCCGCTGCAGGGGGATGGAGAAGAAGGGGGGGGCGGAGGGGGCTGGAGCTGCAGATCCCCTCCCCCCCACTGCTGCACTCGCAGCAGGGGGATGGAGGAGAAGGGGGGAGCGGGGGGGGCTGGTGCAGCAGATCCCCCCCCCCCCCGCTGCTGCACCCGCAACAGGGGGATGGAGGAGAAGGGGGGGCGGGGGGGGCTGGTGCTGCAGATCCCTTCCTGCCACCCCCTTAACCTCCATGCTCCCCCCCCTTCTCCCGACACAGCGACAAGTGCGGCAGGGAGAGAGAGGAGGAGGTGGTGGGCGGCTGACTACTCACACCCGCCACCCCCATACCCTCCCCCCCACTGATGCACGCGCAGCAGGGGGGTGGAGGAGAAAGGGGGGCGGGGGGGTGGTGTAGAAGCTGCTCGGGCGTCAGCAGGGCACGCGACGGGCAGGAACCCGTCGTGCGCCACACCTGCCACCCCCATACCCTCCCCCCAACTGCTGCACGCACAGCAGGGGAATGGAGAAGAAGGGGGTGGGGGGGCGGGCGGTGTAGGAGCCGCGCGGGCGACAGCAGGGCGAGCGACGGGCAGGAAACCGTCGTTCGTCACCCCCGCTACCCCCATACCCTCCCCCCCTTGCTGCACGATTAGCAGGGGGATGGAGGAGAAAGGGGGGTAGTGGGAACGGTGTAGAAGCTGCTCGGGCGACAGCAGGGCGCGCGACGGGCAGGAAACCGTCATGCGCCCCGCCCGCCACCCCCATACCCCCCCCCTCTGCTGCACGATCAGCAGGGGGATGGAGGAGAAGGGGGGGGTGGGGGGGCGGTGTAGGGGCTGCCGGGGCGACAGCAGGTCGCACGATGAGCAGGAAACCGTCGTGCGACACAGGCGCACGACCGGCAGAAAACCGACGGGCGCCCGGGGCGCCCGGCGGGCAAAAAATCGACGCGCGCCCGGGGCGCACGACGGGCAGAAAACCGTATGGTTTGGAGGTATATATGAGTTCTACTAAGAGTAAGTGCGTTACTTAGCGATATGAGTGATACTAAGAGTAAGTGCGTTACTTAGCCATATGAGTGGTACCAAAAGTGAAGACATTACTTAGCCTTACAAGCGTTACTAAGAGAAACTGAGTTACTTAGCTGCATGAGTGGGACAAAGAGTAAGGGTGTTACTTAGCCATATGAGTGGTAGTGAGAGTAAGTGTATTACTTAGCCATATGAGTGGTACTAGGAGTAAGTGTGTTATGCGATATGAGTGGTACAAAGAGTAAGTGCGTTACTTAGCCATATTAGTGGTACTGAAAGAAAGTGCGTTATTTAGCAGTATGAATGGTACTAAGAATACGTGCGTTACTTAGCCATATGAGTAAGTGCATTACTTAGCCATATACTAAGATTAAGTGCGTTACTTAGCAATATGACTGGTACTAAGAATAGGTGTGTTACTTAGTGCTATGAGTGGTATTAAGAGTAAGTGCGTTACTTAGCCATATGAGTGGTACTAAGAGTAAGTGCGTTATTGAGCCGTATTAGTGGTACTAAGAGTAAGTGCGTTACTTTGCCATATGAGTAGTACTAAGAGTACATGCGTTATTTAGCGATACCAGTAGTACTAAAAATAAGTGCCTTACTTAGCCATATGAGTGGTATTAAGAGTAAGGGCGTTACTTAGCCAAATGAGTGGTACTAAGAGTAAGTGCGTTACTTAGGAATATGAGTGGTACTAAGAGTAGGTGCGTTACTTAGCCATATGAGTAGTACTAAGAGTAAGTGCGTTACTTAGCCATATGAGTGGTACCAAGAGTAAGTGCGCTACTCGGCATATGAGTGGTACTAAGCGTAAGTGTGTTACTTAGCAATATAAGTGGTACTAAGAATATCTTCGTTTCTTAGCCGTATGAGTGGTACTAAGAGTAGCCATATGATTTGTACTAAGAGTAAGGACGTTACTTAGCCATATCAGTGATTCTAAGAATAAGTGCGTTACTTTGCCGTATGAGTGATACTAATAGTAATTGTGTTACTTAGCAATTTGATGGGTACTAAGAGTGAAGGCGTTACCTAGCCTTATAAATAATACTATAGCAAGTGCGTTACTCAGCTATATGAGTGGGACAAACAGTAAGGGCGTTACTTGGCCATATGAGTGGTATCAAGAGTATGTGCGTTACTTTGCCGTATGAGTGGTACAAAAAGTAAGTGAGTTGCTTAGCCATATGAGTGGTACTGCGTTACATAGCCAAATGAGTTGTACTAAGAGTAAGTGCGTTACTTAGTCATATGAGTGGTACTACGAGTGAGTGCGTTACTTTGCGATATGAGTGGTACTAATAGTAAGGGAGTTACTTAGCCATGGTACTGAGAGTAAGGGTGGTAGTTAGCCATATGACTGGTACTAAGAGTTAGTGCGTTTCTTAGCAATATGAGTGGTTCTAAGAGTAAGGGAGTTACTTAGTTTTATGAGTGGTACTGAGAGTAAGTGAGTTACTTGCTGTATGAGTGGTACTAATAGGAAGTGCATTACTTAGGCATACGAGTGGTACTAAGAGTAAGTGTGTTACTTAGTGATATTAGTGGTACTAACAGTAAGTGTGTTACTTAGCCATATGAGTGGTACTAAGAGAAAGTGCGTCACTTAGTCATATGAGTGGTACTAAGAGTAAGTGCGTTACTTAGCCATATGAGTGAGACTAAGAGTAAGGGGTACTAAGAGCAATGGGAGTAACTTAGCCATATGACTGGTACTATTTGTAAGTGCGTTACTTAGCCATATAAGTGGTCTAAGAGTAACTGTGTGACTTAGCCATTGAGTGATACTTGTCAGAATGTTTTAGTCCTTGCATTTGTGTAGGCTATAGTGGGGTAGCCCATAAGGGGTACAACCCAATTAGGGTTAGTACTTGTACCCAACACTTTCATAGTTCATTCATTCTCGTTGAATAGTTCGACATGGTTTCAGAGCAGGTCCTTCGCTAGGACCGGGTTTTTTTCCTTGGGCCCACCACAGCGCTGCCCCACTAGCAGCCCCTAGCGACCCTCGTGCCGCACCTCCTGCCTTGCGCGCTGCCCTTGTGCGGTCCTCCTTTCGACCCTAGGCCCCGGCCCGTCGCTCGTAGCCCCTAGGCCCGCGCCCGTCGCCCCTAGCCCTGGCCCGTCGCGCCCCGTCGACCCCTGGCCCCACGCGCCCCATCGACCCTAGCCCCGGCCCGCCCCGTCGACCCTAGGCCCCGGTGCCCCGTCGATCCTAGGCCTCAGCCCGTCCCGTCGACCCTAAGCCCCGGCGCCCCATCGACCCTAGGCCCCGGCCCGCGCCCCGTCGACCCTAGCCCCGGCCGCCCCGTCGACCCTAGCCCCGGCCGCCCCGTCGACCCTAGGCCCCGGCGCCCCGTCGACCCTAGGCCCCGGCCCGCGCCCAGTCGACCCTAGCCCGGGCCCGCCCCGTCGACCCTAGGCACCGGCGCCCAGTCGACCCTTGGCCCCGGCCCGCGCCCCGTCGACCCTAGCCCCGGCCGCCCCGTCGACCCTAGGCCCCGGCGCTCGTCGACCCTAGGCCCTGGCCCGCGCCCCGTCGAGCCTAGCCCCGGCCCGCCCTGTCGACTCTAGGCCCCGGCGCCTAGTCGACCCTAGGCCCCGGCCCGCGCCCGTTGCCCCTAGGCCCCGGCCAGCCCGTCGACCCAAGGCCCCGCGCGCCGCCGCTTGCGGCCCGCCCCTTCGCCCCTGCAGCCCGCGAGCTGCCCTTGCAGCCCCGCGCGCCGCCTTTGGTGGCCC